AAAAAAAAAAAAAATAACAAGGCGGAGAGAAAGCCACGAAGTTTGCAGCTAGAGTTAAGCTTATATATAAAATAATTTTGGTCCTGTTCGCTATAAAATGATTGGGTATTGCTATACTGAATTTTGCCTTATAAGATCAAACCGCACTGATCAAAAATTGGGCAGTCACCTGAATATTAATAAAAAACAAAACAACATAAAAATGCATGTAATATAGTAAATCAATTTGTTGTACAAAAAGACAATATTATTTATTGGTTATGATTTTTAGTATAACATTGAATTAGATCGGAGTAGAAGTCTTGTGGTCAGGAGGTTTCTTTCAATTATTCAAAATTGGAGTTTTATTTTCTCTTTCAAATACTGCGGTGAAGTAACCGTAATTTCAATATATCACGTGTCATACAATCTTTCTCCAGAAAATGTCTTCGAATCCTCTAGAAAATAATATTCAGTTGCTCAGAACTTCATTAAATGTTTTATTAAGAATTTTTCTAATAGATCACGTCTTTTTATTTCTCAATACTCATTATTAAACTTTTTTCTTTTACTAGGCAATATATGGTCGTACGAGCAATATAATCGAACATAGAGCTACTCAAGCTCATCTAAGGTATCTTTTTCGTGATTTTCAAACGGATGTAAAAAAATATTTTTGATAACTCTTTTAATAGCCAACGACAAGCGAGCTACGAACCTTCTAAGGAAGATTTAGATGCTTTAGAGTCATTGAAGACTCAATTTCATATAGTATGTGATGAAATTTATCTTAGTTTGGTAAGTAACATTTAATTTTATTTAAAGATGAATTTTGTGAATGACGTGTGTAATCTTATTTATTTTGCACAGCAAAATACCAAAAAAGTTTTTCTACGAGAATATCACGAGAATTTCGAAGAATTAATACTTGAAAATAAACATCATGATGAGGCTATTGCAGAAAAGATGAAAATTCAAAATGAAAAAATTGCTTTATTGAGAAAAGCTCTAGAATTGAATAAATTTTCAGATCAAAATGATAAAATGGATGAATCTTGATATTAGTTGAAAACGATAGGAGTGTTACATTAAAAATTCTATTTTCTTCGGAATTCTTATTGTCATTTTTTTTTTATACTACTGAAAGACTTGATAATGTAGCCTGTGTCTCAATTACCTATAAGAAAAAAAAAAAGATTACCATAATATATAAAATATTTGAGTGAGAATGCAATAATTATATATTAATATAACCTCGATCGCCTGCTTGATTTCCAAGTGATTTTTAGCAGCTTTGATCCAATCTTCTGCCAATTTTTTTGGCCATCCTTTAAGTTGATTTAATTCCCGCGTCGCAGTATCTAAATCATTTTCATTAAGATAATATTGAACCCTGGAAAGAATGGATTCAACATCGTTCCCTTTTACAAGTCCATGTTTACGGAATAAGATCCTTGAAAACATAGCAGATAAAAGGTGAGCGAATACACCGCCGTCTTCAGGTACTAGAGATGCGCGTCGAACTTTCTCCCTCACAATTGCGAATCGAGCTGATAAATCCGATACGGAATCTACTCCATTATTTGCGATGTTATCATCAATTGTAGACAATACAGTTGTTACAATTTCATCAGTTGAAGTCAAATATTTCATAGCAGTAATTTGATTAGCAAAAGGAGTTCGATGTGGTTGTTCAACCGCATCTTGTAATGATCTTAATGCACACCATAGCCTGTGAGCTTTAAGACTACTGTCCAAACGTTCGGCGTTGTCTACACTTATACGTTCAAGTATCTTAAGTTTATGATTAATGTTGTCTAGCCTTGCTAGACGTCCACCACGTTCTTGTTCAACCATAACTTTAACGTCTCGAATCCATCTTCGTTGCATCTCAGTAGCTTGTCGAAAAAGTGCATTTTTCAATTCTTCATTGTGTTTCGTTGATTCACGAGCGAGTTCACTTTTAAGCTGTTCATAATGTTGTTCATAAAGACGACGTTTTTCTTCCTCGAGTTGTTGTTTTAGTTCATATTCTTTTGAATCATATCGTTGATTGTATTTTTCAATTTGTTCATCTATAGTAGATTGAATTTTTGCCTGATTTTCAATCTTAAGAAGATCGATATGAACTTCAAGTTGTTTTAATTCTTCTTGTGCCCGTTTAATAAGATCATCTTTATCTTTAACATCATAATTACTAAGAATGTTAATAAGTTCATTTAAAGTATTAGTAAGTTTAAAAAGAATCGGATTTTCAAATGATTCTGCTTTTTTATTAACAATTTTTTGGTCTTTATTCAAAATGACATCTTTTGCGGATTCCTTTATTCCAGGTTCCACTGCTGGTGTAGGTTTGAAAGTTCGGATCACTTTATCAACAACTTCTTTACCCTTTTTTTCAAGTCTATCAAAAATTCCTTGTTTTTGAAGATCTTCAACATATTCCACAGATTTTTCGGCACCATAAACATATTCGGTAAAAATATCACGAAATTCTTCATTTTTAAGAGAATAATATATTGAACCACCGTAAGCTATACCACCCAAAAGTGTTACACCTAAAATAAATTTACCGAATCCAAATCCTTTTTTCCTTGGAGATTCTTCTTTAGCGACTTTGCTAGTTTCGAGTTCTTTTCTAATAGCTTCAGTAGGGGCAATAGTAGCTTCCTTAGTAACATTTTTGGAAGTGTCTGTAGTTGCCTTCGAAGTTGCTTCGGTACTGAAAATTCTCTGAAGAGCGTTTAAAAACATTTATCACAAAAATTTTTTTTTTCAAGACTACGAAAAATAAATAATAAAGTGTAAAATGGAACCTTTCTTGTTTGTGAGAATTGTTGTCTCATAATATACGAAAAAAACAAATTTGTAGGCCTTACACGAGCAGCTTGCCGTATAACTCCTAACATGTTTAACATGTTTAGAAACAGTATTTAAGTATACCTTTGTCACTATTATAATATGTAGGTTTCGAGAAAGTTTTTTTTTTTATGTTTGATTATTCCCAGTGTAACAGTTCTCGAAAAATCTAAAAGGAAAATCATTCAATTACTTTCTTGACAAAGGCACGAAGCTGCAAACGTTTACTTAAACAGGCTCTCGCGATCCAACTTTAAAAAAACGACTCACAATGAATGGACTATTCCCTAAGGATACAATTAAGGTAAAATTTAGAATATGTTTTTTTTATTGAGTAAAACTGATTGTTAAAAACAATAGATCACAGCGGAAACTGTTGGGGTTACAAACTTAAAAGACAAAGTGGCTGCTGCGCTGGCAAACGATGTGGAATATAGGGTCCACGAAATAATACAGGTGGTTCGCGTTTTCCAAATCGCCAAGTGTTCCGTAAAAAATTATAAACTTAAACTGTTACGGAACTATGCTTCGAACAGGAAGCGAACAAATTCATGCGTCACTCAAAACGCACGAGACTTACGGGAGAAGATATTAATAATGCTTTACGTGTTCGTAACGTAGATGTATGTTATATAGAAAATTTTTTTCTTTGTTCCGATTAAATTAATTACTTATAATATAAGAATATTATTCGTTATATAGCCATTATACGGTTTTAGTCTGAATGACAATTCAAAATTCCAACGTATTACGAACAATCAACACGATCTTTTTTATGTTGAAGATGACGAATGGGAATTCGAAAGCGTTATTAGTTCGGCAATGCCTAGAGTTCCTACTGATGTTTCTTTTAGTGGTTAGTATTTTTTTCGCCCAAGCAATGAGGAAAATACATATAATTAACGCTTGATTATTATTATTTAAAGCTCATTGGCTTGCGGTAGAAGGTGTACAACCAGCAATACCTCACAATCCAACTCCACCTCCACCGCTTGAAGAAGGTAATAAAATTCAAGTGATTCAAAATTAATTGATCGCTACTTTAATTCTTAATCGTTCTTTATTAAAGAATCCAAAATGGAAGCACGCAAAAAATACGTACCTAAAAATGATGATTTACAAGTTAAAGCTGGATTACCTGTTACAAACAATGTTGAAGTTAAGCCTTTGGTACAACATGTTTTATCCATGGAACATCAAATTTTTTACGAAAAAGTTACTAAAGCTATGAAAAGTGAGGACTCGAGAGATTCAAAAACAAAAGTTAATGTTCTTAATAATCTCGAACATGATACCGGATTAGCTCAACTTCTTCCATATTTCATACAATTTATTTGTGAACAAGTAAGTTTCTCTGATTAGACATTTTGGTATAAAAATACTTCGGTTAATAATAACATGTTAAATTAGATTGGAATACACGTAAGGAAAAACTTTAATGTTTTAGAGCCAATGTTGAAAATGGCCGAGGCTTTAATTAACAATAAAAGTCTTTACTTGGAACCCTATGTGAGTTTATAAAATATTTTTCTTGTCTTTTAATTATGACAATCCTTGTATTCACTTATAATGTTAATATATAGCTGCATAATTTGATGCCGGCAATATTAACCTGTGTGGTTAGAAGGAAATTGGGACTATCTATGGGAGAGAAACATTGGTCTTTACGTGAATTAGCTGCACGTATCCTTGCCAAAATATGTGATCGTTATGGCGGAAGTTACAATACTCTTCAACCTCGAATTACGAGAAATTTAATGAGCTGTTTTATGGACACTAGTAAATCTTTATACACTCACTATGGATGTATAGTTGCTATGGGTGCTTTAGGCCGTGAAGTGATTAGGACCATATTAGTTCCAAATTTGAAAACTTACGGTGATTTACTTTCAACTTATGCGAATGATATTGATCCAATAAAACGTGACGCTGCTGCTAGATGTTATAATACTATTGTGGTATGTACAATATAAGTATTTTGCAATATGTGTGATGATATTTTAATCCTTTATTTATTATAGGACAAATTAGCGAAGTTAAAAGAAACTGTAGATCCCTTGATTGATATTGAATTACAAAAGACTCCGATTGATGATTTACGTGAAAGATTAGAAGATAAGATAGGCAAATATTTTGCGGATGGTGTACTAAGACAGATTGGCGACGAACATGTCATTATGGCAATAATTAATTCTTAGAAGTTTGTCATACAAAGTTATAACTTTATTTTCACCTTCTTCTGGAATTATATTTAAGAATCACAGTTGTTAACACGTATAACACGTATAATAATAAATTTTTTTGGAAATATCATATTAGTATATATATGAAATTTCAAATTATTATTTATTATTATTATTATTATTTAAAAAATAACTCAAATCAACTGTACTTAAGTGTATTGCAATTTATTTCATATCCATAACAATCACCTACAAATATAAAATATGAATAAATGCTGGATTTAAACAACTTATAGCTTATATTGATTCTACTTACATTGCCATTTGCCAAAGTAAATGCTATTTTAGTGCCTAATGCGTCCCAATGAAGATGATATATTGGTGATTCTGATTTGTAAGAAATTTTAGGTTCATAGCTCTGATGGCATGAAAGAAAAAAAATTTCATTACTTTACCGTTAAAACTAAAAGAAAAAGAATATTGAAAAATGATTTCATGTAGATATATTTTTTACCTTAGAATCGATAATTAATAAGTTTTGATCATACGATCCTAACGCTAGAAGTGCTCCGTTCGGACTAAATTCGAGCGAAGATATAATGGCTTGATTATCATTAAACTCTTTAAGTTTTTTACCATTCTCTGCATCCCATATTGTCACTTTATGATCTTGTGTAGCACTTAATAGAAACAAATTATTAATAATCCTTAAATAATCATATTCATTAATTATAAAACAAACATATTACACTTACGTAGCGAGAATATAACCTGTTTCTTTTTTCTTGTTAGTTGACTTCATTGCTTGAGACCATGTTAATGCATGTACGGCACTTTCATGATTAAGTGAATGTATAACCTTTTTATTTTCCTTCCAGATCTATAAATTATCAAATGTATGTTAATAATAATCGTAATAATAATAAATAATGATGATGATGTAATGATAATAATGATGGAATACCTTGACCGTATAATCTGAGGAGCCGCTTGCCAAATAAGTCTTACTAATATCATAGGCCAAACATTTGACTGGTCCTTCATGTCCAGTTAACGTTTTGATCGGATTTTCTTGTTTAATGGTGTAAAACAAGATATTATTTTTTGTACTTGCGGCAAATGAGTCATCACTAGCCCATGCAACATCATATACAGCTATAAAATTTGAATAATTTAGACTATAATTAAATTTTTAATAGCACAAAGAAAAAGAAAGAAAAGGAAAGAAAAGAAAACATAAAAAATAAATATTAACTTTCATGTTTATACTGCCCAACAGTATTCCCACGCTTATCAGTACAAATACTAAATCCATCTTGAGTAACTGTAAGAAGGTGTTCACCTTTTGGGCTCCATTTGATCGTTAACACGGAATTTACTTGGGAGTTGCTACGTAAAGCTCCTATATTTTAATATATTATTTACTATTATTAATTATGTATTTAAAACTTTTCATTCATCCATATATACCTTTAGAATTATAAATACAAGAAAATCCATCCGCATACGCAATAGCTATTGTATTGGCCTCGGTTGGCTAATAGAGATATTAACGTATTAACATTATAACTTAATGGATAATGAAACAAATGCTCTCATCTACTCACGTTCCAATCTAGCCAGCATACATCTGAAAGATTATTTTTAATAAAGCTTTTAATAAGGGTGGGTTGTGCGTGATCTTTTTGCCAATTTGTAATATTCCAGATTCGCGAAGTACCGTCTAAGCTACTAAGTAAATAAGAAAAGAAAATAAAAATTAAATTATAAAAAGTCATTATTCATTATTTGTTCAAAACATTTACCATGTTGCTAAAATGTTAGTATCTTTTGGATTCCATGCGCATAAAAATACATCTTTACTGTGACCTTTCAATTCTATAATGTTGTTAGATGTACTTGGGCTCGGCTGGCTATTTACTAAAATATATATATATATATATGAAAATGGACATATGAGGACGAATTTAATAGAATGGGTCTTTACCATTATTACGCGTGAGTTCAAATTCTGCTTCTCGATCTTTATCTTTAATTCTTTTCCGATCTCTCACACGTTCATCTTTTTTACGATCCTTTCCTCTAGCACGATCTTTTTCCTTTTTTTGTTCTCTTTCTTTATTACTACGCTGCTCTTCGTCAAGATGTTTAATTTCTTCTTCTTCGGTTGAAGATTCATATTTCCGCTTTTTGTCATTATTATTCTGATTTAAATTGTTATCATTATTTTCATTGATTTGATTTGTTTCGTTACCATCATTTATCTCATTTGTAGTATTTTGAACTGTAGTAGTTAAAGATGATACATTTGTTATGCAACGGTGCTTGTGTATTAAATGTATAGGAGCACTACATTTAATCGTAGATTCATCCTGAAAATAAAGTTTCGTTAATTTAGATCCATATTCAAAATAACATGTAATAAATATGTAATTACCGGTAATGCGTGCAATTCCATGTCCATATAAAAAAGACCTTTGTATATGATCTTTACAAGTAGTCCAGTTTCTACATCTTTTTCAGCAATACCCTTTCTGTGGGCTGCTTCTTCAACCTTAGCCTCCATGTTAAAAACTGCAGGTGAGAAATTAAAACCTATAACAGCATATTAGAATAAAATTCATATAAGAAATAAACAGTATAACTCGTAAATATAATAACGAACCTGACTCATGAAGATATTTATAAATTAAAATGTTAATATCATCTGAGGTAACTTGGACATTCATTTTTATCGCTAACAAAACCAAATCAAAAAAGTGGAGTAAAATTTATAACTTACAGGGTTATACAATCACGTGTGTATATTTTTTTCACGGTTGTACTATTTTATTTATCTTGATATATACTAGTCGAAATAAGCATTACAGTAATGGGAATTTTACTAATATTTAACTATAAAATCTTTTGTGCAATTAAAATAAAATTTTATTTTACGAAAACTGCATCATTTCACTGTTATCTTCGTCTTCATCCTCCTGATCATTTGTATCGAGTATAATTATTCTTTTCTTATCTTCACTTAAAATACAAGCTAATCTTCTTGCGCCATTGGTTATTAATTTCGATGGCTTAAATTGTGTGATTTCACGATACTGATGTACTAAGAGAGAGTTAAAATTTTCCATATTCTTTGATAATTTAATTGAAAAGAGTCAGAATCATCAAAGACGTTTAATAAAAAATATAACAACTTATTAGCAGAGCTCTACATACCTTTTGATTCAATATTTGATCAACAACATTGACCCTATTTGATTTTTCTATTACTTGAATGATGTGTGGTCCTGCAACTTGTACAAAATTTAATTTTGAATAGTTCACTTCAGCTATAAAACTTACCTCATTTTCTATAATTCTCAAATATAAAAGATAAAAATCGATTAATAAAATAAAACATTATTATAAATACAGTCAGTATGGAAAATAACCTGTTTCATTAAGCCCAGTAACAATTATATGCATCTTTTCATCATCAAATAATCGCATATCTGTAATTCTAAGATATTCATTTTGCCGCTCCTGGTTTGATAACCTGATGAAGGTGATTTCACTTGTTCGTTTATCAGAAGGTTTTTCAAGTGAATCGAATGCATTTTCCGATTTTAAAGATGAACGAAGAACCCACACTACAAATGCGTTTAAAGTAGTTAATAGAAAAAAAGAGAAATAAGATAACATAAAAGATATAACATTTACAAGACGGTGGCAAATATTGAATAGTTCTAGATAAACAGAATGCAACATATACAAATGTTTGATTTTCCTAATAAATTAATTAAAAAAAATGATGAAAAAACAATAATTTAGTGAATTTAATACAATTAAATATCTTACTTTTGTTACAATTCGCGTATCTAATAATAACGAAAGTGTTCCTTCTGAATCTTCTATAAGATTATCAATTATATCCAAAAATTCTTTTGTATCAACTGAATTAACAACGTTATATGCTGTTGAAGTGGACATTTTATTACATCGCAATATTAACATGTCAGGCAAAGGAATATCTGCTGTTTCTTCAAAATAATCATCTAAGAAATCCATATGCAAGGAACTTTTTATATAAGAAGCAACCTTACTAATGTCAATGCGCGGCGGTGCTTCTTGGCTTTGATTATGGTCTACTAAACTGATATTGTCGAATTCTATATATATAAAATAATTACATTAATTTCATTATAAAATATTGATAAAAAAGAACGTACCATATTGAAGCCACTGTTGAAACTCCATAAAATTTATGTATTTTTCGTCAATCGCATTTAACATATTTTCGAGCCTATTAATGAGACATTCGGTAGAAACTATAATAGAACGAACATATGACTCTGATAGTCCAAGACCTTTAAATCTTTGTTGCCTTAATTTTGCAAAAATAGTTGAGAATAGAAACGCCAAATAAGAGGGAACCAATGATGTAAAGACATACCATTTACAATATCCAATTAACGTACTCAACCGTAAAAGCAATCTTTCACAACCCGGTCTAACATAATGGTGTATGTATTCCCGAATTTGTTCGAAAGACTTTTGGCCTTTATTTTCCCAATCTTTCAGCCCCTGAAGTTATAAGACGCTTCAATATCAATAAATATTAATAAAAATAGTAGACTTTTGTAAATTTATTACCCTCTTAGTAAGATGCATTTCCAAATATTTATGTAGTAAAGAACTCGGTCTTCCAGTGGCCAGAAAATGCACAAACTCTGCAGATAATTTTGAGTTGGCTTTTTTTTATTTAAAATTATGATGAGTTAGAAACATAAAATGTTACTTTCTTTTAATTAATAACAATTGGCCTACCATCATTTTCTAACAATACCGATTGAAATTTATCAATATATATCTTGGCACTTGATTTCATATTTTCGTATTCAGCTTTGATCTGTTTAAAACCTTCGAATATATACTCTGTCAAATATTTGATAGTAGTGTACGTTTGAGATAAAGTTCTTATTTCATTTTTACGTGCGTGAAGCAAGCCTGTGTTAAGAATAACTTCAACTAATTTATCGTTAGTCGAAGTTTTGGATTTCACGGCTGGAGAGGTATAACTTGCGCGAACAAACAATATGATGTAAGAGAGATCAGGTGCAATTGAAGCTTTTATAATTTTTGCACTCTAAATTGAGAATATCAATTTAATTTATCTTATCTATTATGCATGACTGTCAGCAAAGAAGAAAAAACACAAGCCTGTGACTTTATATGATTAGATATTGAGAGAGGTAGTAACTGATATATGCCATAAACGCTAATGTAATATAAAATAAAATTTCATTTTTTTTTGTATTCATTATAAAATTTTCATAGTATAAATTATAAATTGAAAGGAAACCTCAGATGCAAATTCCCAGATGCGTCCCCCGCTATCAATAAATCAATAAGATTGGAAGGTTCATCTTCAAGTTCATCCTCGTATGATTCGTTTATGTTTCCCAAAAGATTGCTAGATTTTTTAAAGAGATCGAATATGAAGCTACGGATTATATCAAAAGTGTAAAGAAGTATGAGCAAATATACTCACCTTATTGGCTTTGCACGTGGAATTGTGTTAAGTTTAGGTAAGTGTCTCTGTACAGGATGTGTACTAAGATAATTAATCTGATAAGCCAGAATAATTAATAATAAGTCTAAAGCTAAGAATTTAAAAAATTATTCATTTGAGTGGTTAATAGAAACCTGTTGTTCGTTCACATTTTCATTATCACTTTCATTCTCCTGAACCCAAATCAGAAAATTTATTGCGGATGATGATATTGAATTAGTTTTTAGTTTTGGATCAGTAGATTGTGGAAATAACTCATGTATCATTTCCAATTTATCAACGTTGTAAAGTCTAATGGCACCACTTGAATAACCCAAAGCAATTACTTTGCCTGATAATGTATCAATTCATAATTTATATATTTGGCACTGAACTCAAAGCTATGCAAGTATTCTGAACTATTACCGTCGGGTCTCCACGTTAATACCTCCACTTTGTCTTCGTCATGTTTTTCAGCTGGTAAAGTCCAAATTTTTTCTAGGGAGTTAAACCACCTAGCTACCCAAACAGAATCTGTTTCAGTACAAACTGCGAGTAAATCCATTGTTGGACACATTGATATTAACTTTATAGGATCATTAACACCATGTTGGTTCATTAATCGAAATGACATATGAGAAGCAAATTCTTCATGTTGGAATATCATTTTTACAAAATAAAAATAACAAAGTTTCGTTTATTATGTTTATTACGCGTTTTTTTTTAGTTTTTCAAAAACTGATTATGTAAGATAAAAAACTATAAATGGGCTATCTTGAAAATTTATAAATTTATCCGATATGGTTAAGAGTTCTCGACAAAAATTTAAACAAAAACTTCGAAAATCTATTACAACACCAGCTTTCAGAAATAACTACATACCAGCAGATCAAAAAAACCATGATGAATCAACGAACCAAGTATCCACATTACTGGATAAGCTACGTAAGGAAGCTCGGTTCAATAATGGAACTGCTTCAGCGAATATTTCATCCACCTTACCACAACCAGCGTTTAATTATTTAATGAGAGAGCATGCTGAAAGAGAACAACAAGAAAGAGGAGAACGAGAGGCTATGAGACAGCGAGTATCTGGTCCAGCACCACCCAAAAGCTGGCAAAAAGCCCGGAAAGGTAAAAATGAATCAATAGAGTTACTTATTAAGGATCGAAAGGAAAAAAGGAGGGCCTGGGATGGTGAGGCAATTTGCCAGGACTATTATTGTACACATTTTAAATATGTATCTAAATAATTTTTGGTTTGATATTAAATTAACACTTGATTACTTTCATAGGTCCAACCCTTCCAATGCGTAAAACTCTAACACTTTTGGAAATCTGTTCAAAAACAGTAGCTATTAATATTAAATCTTACATATCATATCCATATTTTGCAAATATGCCAACTCATCTGAAGCAGTGTATTCTTTCGTCTTTGAGTATTTATAATCCTCTTACCGAAGAAATACTCCCATTATTTAATACGGATACTGAATATGAAGAATTAGATCTTGCAAACAGTACTATCAACTTAGAAAGTTTCAAAAAATCTTTTTGGAAAATTGTCGAAGAAAAAGATTTAGTAGATAATTTAGTTAAAAATTGGGAAGATCTTGCAGATCAAGATGAAGAAACTGATATTATATACTCTAGAATTTTTGGCAAGCCAATGGATATTACAAACGATGATGATGATTCAAGAAAAACGAACAAACTTATATCTAAACTTCCAAAACTTCGAAAATTAAATTTGGGGTTTACTCATAATATTTCCGGTATTCCTTTATCCATCTTGTTGGTTGCAACATTACCATTATTAACACATTTGTCAATCGCTGGATGTTTTAATCGAGAGGATGGCCCGCATTCTTTACGTATTCTTTCAGGTTTAATAAATCTTTTAGTTTTAGATATATCTTATTGTGAATGGGCAACGGATCAAATTTTATTACAATTTATAAATTGGGATAGAGATTTGAAATCGCTGAGAGTTTTGGTGGCAGTGAATTGCGGTAGTTGGAAGGATGCGGAAGTCGTAAGAAAGAAATTATCAGAAAATCGAAGATCATTCGAACTTTGGACTGAACAGTAAAAAAAATGCAATCTCATAATTGAATTGAATTGAATTATAATAATCTCGTTATTTATTATAATTTATTATAAACTAAATAATCGGTCGATTAATAGTTTTAGGGTTGAAACTTTAATAGATTTCTTTATTTAACAATTCATCCTGATGAATAACATCTAATTGTATAGTTTTAAGTTAATTTCATATCAGTATATGATATAATACTGATATGAGATTTAATGCATACTTTCTTTAATCCCTCTGAATCATCTTTGAATATGTCTCTTTTTTTTTAAATAAATCGCGATAAAAGTCTTTTCTTATGTAATAATTTTATGTTGTTAATTAAATCATTACAAATGATCGTTTAGTTCAATATGATGTAATTATTAAAAATTATAAAGCCCATAATTTCACCACTTTATCTCTTCCCCCAGATGATAAAATAGAATCTTTAAACTTTACACACTGTACCTGCTGTGAATGTCCTTCAAAACTCGAATGTTGAAAATTAGTTCGATTATAAATCTAATAAAAATTTATCAAGTTAATCCCTTTTCAATAGTAATAAATATGTGTATATAACTAACCTTTATATCATTGCTACCAGCACAACTAATTATTTTGTTAGTATCAAATTGTAAACTTGTGACGCTATTATCATAAGAGAAAGTATCAATTATGGATCCTGTTCTTAGGTCCCATATCTTAATATCAAAATAACAATAATAATATAAAAGCAACATTAATTAATAATCTGAATAATAATATTAAGTATCAAAAATTTCAAGACATGAATACCCTTATGCTTCTATCAACACTTCCGCTTACAACATGACGGTCATCAAACTGAAGACTAGTTATGGGTCCTGATTCATATAAACAAATTATTGCTTTTAAGTTTAGCTTAAAATCAAATAAATTTATAATATTTTCTAACCTGTATGGCTTAATAGAGTTCTATGTGCTTGACCTGTCCTTACTATTACACAGAAAACATAAACGGTTAAAAGTTAAAATGATACATATATAATTTTTTTTTTAAAAAAAAACACAGATTGTTACGTACAATCCCACATTCGTATTGCGCCATCTTCAGTTCCACTTGCTAAACCAACATCTCGGAACTGCAAAGCTCCAATAAATTCGCCCCCGTCAAATATATAACTATCAAATAAGAATCCTGCTTGTCTACGTTCAACTTTAGAGCTGGACATGGCCCACAAAATGTCCATAGTCAAAATACATTGTCCTGTTTCCATATCCCAATGCTTCATAGTCTTATCTGAAGATCCAGATACCTTTCACAATTGATAAAACAAATAAGTATTTAACTAATCTTTTTAATTATAAAAAATTCCATAAGATTCACTAAGACTCACAAGACTGTTATTTTCAAAATATAAACAAGTAATTGATTTACTGTGTCCTTCCAATGAAGCTATCCAACAATTATCACCAATATTTGATAATCCATTTGCTTCATGTACCGAAGCTGAAGCGAAGCTTAATTCTGATAAATTTGTCACGGATTCGGGGTGAGATATTAGCTTAGATAAATCCCATTGACGAATTGTTTTATCTCGTGAACCTGTCACTAAACGGGATCCATTTACTTGCAAACAATTAACTACATCTATTTAATAAAAAATATGGATACACAACAAAAATTAATAATGCATTTAACTAACTAATACGGTTAACAGAAGATTAATTATTACCTTTATGTCCATCTAAAATACCCAAACAGCGATAATTATTCAAATCCCAGGCTCTTAGTGTATTATCTAAAGAAGCCGTGATAAGTGTTCCACAAGATTTATCGAAATCAAGGCACGTGATAATATCATCATGACCTTCTAAAACCTATATAAGTTTTAAGTAAGAAACACTGCTATAAATTTTAATAATTACATGTGATGTACCTTAATACATGTTCCATGTTCATAATTATGTTTTGCGGCACCTTTTCCTACATTATAATAATAAAAAAATATTAATAAAAATCTAAATTTAGCAATAATTTTCCACCAATATCAGGAAGGTAAGGTAATGAACCTTTTGTGCGCATTCGTCTTTCACTATTATTATTTTCGGGGTTAAAATTGGCAATCTTTTCATCTAAGTCTCCCACTAAATTAAAATTATCAATATATTATAAAAGAAACAAAGAATCACTGCTAATAATCAAAAAATATAATTTACGTTGACTGGATAGTTCGATCTGTCTTTCGTTATATTTTGCTAAATTCGTTTCCAGGTTTAGTTTTCTAGCCGTCAATTCTGCGATTTCACCTTCGATTTTTTTAATTTCGGCCTTTGTTCGCGACTAAATCAAATATACGTTAATTATAAATAACTCGAAATATACGTAATACTCCTTTAATAAAAATATACCTCTTGCATTTGTATTTTGTTATTCTCTCTTACAACTCTATCACGATCCGCAATAAGTTGATTAAGTGGTTTATAATCACCATCTATCGATGCTATTTATTAATATTAAATATAAGACTTATTAAAAAGATCAGATTTTAATAATAAGTCTATGTAAAAAAAATAAATAATTACAGTTGGCTTTCCTTTTATTAGAAATAATTCATTACCTATATCAGACATTGCATCTTGTGAACCAAAAGCTTCAGCTAAAAGACCTCTTACTTTTCGTTTATGAAACTTTGATTTTTTTTTAGAATTATTTGGAGACTCAACCTCTTGAAAAGTTGCTTTATATCCCTGAAACAACGATAAGGGAGCTTTAGATTCTGGTATCTCTGAATTAAATAAAATATCATCGGGCTTTGGAGTAGTTGTACTTGTTGAAATGTCTTCTAAAGAAATAAGTTTGTTTGAACCTTCTTTTGTATGACGAGTGTTTCCATTATTATTTACAAGTTGCTGTATGCGACGTTGATCCATTAACTGAGGAGCAAGTTCAGATAGAATATAAGCAGTATCTCCCTTTACAGCACGAGTTGTTAAAGGGGAGAAAAGCATAGATGCTGTGGTTGACACGGTAGTTGACATTGTACCAGTTACCGTATTCGCGATACTTTCAAGGTGCAATGATGGTAAAAAGTCATTTAGACGAGAATCACCTAAACTGGAGAACCGTTTTGAATCTCGGTTCGTATTTGATGATAAAGAACCTGGAGCATTATTAGCCGTGCTCATTTTTAATGATTCTCATCTACACATCTGACAAATTTTCGAACGGTACCTTTAGTATTTTACATCTAATCTATTTTTATAATTCTATTATGTAATATAACGATGCAGGTTACTGAGTGAACAAAATTAAGCTTATATATCACGTGATATCTACATTTGTAATCAATACGTGATTTATAATCTTACCGAAATTCTATTTTTCTTCCAAAAAAGTATAAATATGGGTAAAAAAAAATTTTCTTTGCCTAAAAACTTTGGTACTGAGTTAGTATCACATAAAAATTTGATTTTTTTTTCGAAACGTTTTCTAGTAATATTTATTAGGGAAAACAATGGGTCGTCGTCCAGCTCGCTGTTACAGATACTGCAAAAATAAACCTTATCCCAAGAGTCGATTTTGCCGCGGTGTTCCCGGTATGAATAACTAATTATAATCTATATTATATGAATATATTATATTTAATTTTTTTTTTTTTTTTTTTTTTTAAAAAAATCAATAATAACATGTAGAAAGATGATTAAGATTTNTATTTAATTTTTTTTTTTTTTTTTTTTTTACAAATTAGATCCAAAAATTAGAATTTTTGATTTGGGTCGAAAAAAGGCGAATGTGGACGAATTTCCTCTATGTATTCATCTGCTTTCTGATGAACATCAACAACTTTCTAGTGAAGCATTAGAAGCCGGACGTATTTGCGCTAACAAATATATTACAAAATTGGCTGGTAAAGACTCTTTCCATTTAAGAGTTCGTGTTCATCCCTTCCATGTTATTCGTATCAACAAAATGTTATCATGTGCTGGTGCTGATAGGTAATTTAATTTCTTTACAGATGAAAAAAATATGATTTTTTTTTAGTTTAATGTCAAATCTTTAATTTAAATTATAGATTGCAAACTGGTATGCGAGGGGCTTTTGGTAAACCCACAGGAACCGTTGCTCGCGTTGATATCGGGCAAATAATTTTCTCTGTTCGCACCAAAGAAAATAATAAGCCAACCGTTATTGAAGCTCTCAGACGTGCTAAGGTATTTTAGAATTTTATAAAAAAGAAATTATATTATTGTTGACTAAAAATGATCGGTATTAATTTGTTTGTATTTATATACAGTACAAATTTCCTGGACGACAAAAAATCATTGTGTCCAAGAAATGGGGATTCACAAAATTGTCTCGAGAAGAATATATGGAAAAGAGGCAAAATGGTCTCTTGCAACCAGATGGTGCTTACGTTAAATATTTATCGCATCATGGTCCTCTTTCAAAACATCTTGCCCAAATCGCAGCTACTTCTTAACAAATATAAATAAAAATTGATTTATCAAAGGATAATTTTTTAAGAAACCTGTCTTAAAAAATTTATTAAATTATGATAATAAATTGTTCTTTTACAATACATATATTTTTTTTTTCTAGTTATTATTTTTTCATCGTCTTGCTTGGGAATATCTATGGAGCAAATGTTTTATAGAGTAAATCCCAAGATATTCCTAATATTTGAGAATCATCTTCAACAGAAAAGCAACCTATTACACAAACTGGATCTCCCTCTTTAAGAGGAGCTGATAGACAATCTTGAGGTCTACCATACGGATGTATGGTGAACGAATCCTAAAATTCGACATTTAATATAAACAACTGGAATAATGTTGAATTTTGTCTAATGAAAAATTTTACCTCATAATTTGAATCATCATAACACCATTGTGTGTTATTAGCATTAATTGATGAATCCATGAAAACGGTGTTTTCTTTCTTATTCCATGATAAACTAAATTAGTATTAGCAAATATAATATTATAATCAATAATGTAATAAATATTTGACACAAATTGAAATATTAAATAAATAAATCGTACACAGTTCCTCCAGCTCCGTGTATTTTAAATGGATTTTTGCATTCTGGATAATTTTGATGCAATAAGCTTATGTAAAATTTAACTTGACTGGGTATACTGGAACAATCATTTAAATACATTGGATTTGTTGCCAAATCTAAACATTTCCAATGGTATTCTATTATAAAGCAAAAGTTTAGTTCACTGTAATGTGACAGAAGGAAAATATATAAGCAGATTGTTAGCATTACTATTTTGAATCGAGTTAATTGAAAGCCCAGGTATACTTGGACCACCATGACTGTGAGAACTACGACGAGAAAAACATTCTTGAAAACAAAATATGTTCAAAATTATTATAATAACAAAATAATTTTTGAAAGACATTCTATGTTAAAAAGTAAAAACGGAAAACAAACGGTAGAGGAAAGCAAAAGTATAAATTTATTTCTATATGTAAGTAATATAATTTACAGTGCATATTTTTCTTAATTTGGAAGTTACATGGTAATATATCGTACAAGAAAGGAGCCTTCACTGTAACACCACACAAACATGAGTGGTAAAAATTTATACATTTGAAATTCTTATTTACATCAGATCAATATATATATTAGCTGTAGCTGATAAGAACCAAGAAGTACGAGATCCACGGCGCGGACCTCATTAATAGGTTGAACAACTTCTTAAATATCTCCATTCCTTGCGCCCCAATGCTCACTGTAAAAATTTGGTAAAACAATAATGATGGAGGAAACGACGATAATTGTCCCAATGTGGCCTCCATTTAAAGACTTACCTGAGGTCAAATCTTTCATCGGCGTTATTTTCGCTGTAGCTGGCAATGTAAGCTTCTTACTCTTATTTATTCATACTATTTATTATTTTTTGTTATTAATATACTTTATCTTCTATATAAGATTTTGATATCGGTAGCTTTGAATATTCAAAAAAGCGCTCATAATGAGCTACAAAGGCTCCAAAGGCTCCAATTAAATAACTTCAATTCAGGTTCAGATTTTTCGTCGCGTAGTTTACATACTAATAATGACGAATATGAAGTTTTATTAGATCCAGAACAATATAGCGAAACAAACTATCTTCGTTCTAAAGCATGGTGGGCTGGGATATTTTTAATGATCATTGGTAAATAATATTTATATGACTTACACACGCGTTCACTTTCCATGTTATTATTTTGGGCGTAATTGTTCTTTTTCTTTATTTAGGTGAATTGGGAAATTTTATGGCTTATGCATTCGCACCAGCATCGGTAGTAGCTCCTTTAGGAACAGTTGCTTTGATCTCTAATGTTATTTTGGCTCCTATCATGCTAAAAGAAAGATTTCGTAAGCAGGATTTAATGGGAATCTTTATTGCAATAATTGGAGCAGTGGTGGTTGTGGTCAATTCAAAGTCAGACGAAGTTAAGGTACTTATTAGTTGAATGATTCTGCCTTATAATTGTTTAGAATTTATTTAGATCAAACAATTTATAATTTTCAGCTTACGCCTGAAGCCATATGGACCGCTATTAAAGAGACACAATTCATAATTTATTTTATAATCACGGTGACATTGGCTATTTTTTTAATGTATTTATCTGATAAAATTGGACATAAAACGTGTTTTGTTGATCTATCTCTAGTCGCAATTTTCGGTAATTATTACAAAGAAAGCCTTCAATGGTCAAATCTATTGTTTTTACGTACTTATATATATGTTCCGACAATTTAGGTGGATATACTGTATTGGCGACAAAATCTCTGTCATCTATGTTGACAATGAAATTTGTCGCAATGTTTACCTACTCTATAACTTATCTTATATTGATAGTGTTAATGGGTACAGCAGTACTTCAGATTAGATTTCTCAACAAAGCTTTAAAACAATTCGATTCAACGGTAAAATTATTTGATATTAAAAATTTTTTTCAAGATCTTATTATTAAATTAAAACTCTCATGTATATATATAGGAGGTCATTCCTATACAATTTGTTCTTTTTACAATCTCTGCGATTATAGGCAGTGCTGTATTATACAATGACTTTGCAGATATGAATTTCTGGAAATTTACTGGATTTTTTATTGGATGTATATTAACATTTGTAGGCGTTTATTTTATAACATCTAACAGAAGCGAATCTGAAGGATATTCACATCCAGTTCCTAATAATTTATCGAGTGGTTCTGTAAGGAGTAGTAGAATGGTAGATCCGTTACGTGCTGTATTACCTGTCTTTCCTGACGAACTTAATGGCGGTTCTGGTGAATTTAATAGACAGTATTCATCATTTAATCAAAGTTCAGTTGCTACGGGTATTCCCCGTAGACATACATTAACTGAACCAACAGTTCTTTCCTCGACTCCGCTTTTAAATGGTTACAGCTCTTTGAGAAATGACGGAATATTAAGATCATTAGGAGTTTCCGCAACTTCCTTGACTGCTGGAGTAAGTCAAGCGTTAAATTCTGTGGGTGCTCGTCATTCGCATGCGTTAGGACTAGGTAGAATCAGAGAGTGTTTTATAATATTTGATTATTATTATTTTTAAAAAAATGGGTTAAATATATTATTCTTTTTTATCTAAATATTATTAGAACAAGTATTTGAAAACTATAAAGGGATAGGAAAGGATTATGGCGCTCATCGTCGAAGTATGTCTGTTCCTCCTGGTTTAGTTTCTCGTGGAGTTGATTATTCAAATTATCAAAATGGTAGAATAAGTAGCCCTCTAGCTACGAACGCTGAAGATGACAGTGAAAGTTTTGGCGCACAGCCAAAATCTTATGCTAATTCATCTTCGTATAGCAATTCTGAATATTCCGATTATACAGATACTGCACAAACTGACGACGACGCAAGAACGATTAGTGGATGGACTATTTCAACAAATGGAAGTAATATAGGAAATTATATAGGGGATGAAAGTAGCACTTATGAGGCTTTTCCTGGTACTAATAATTATTCTGACGACATGAGCGATTTACCAGATTTGCCTTTAAGGCGAGATTACGGTGAATTGTAATAGAAGTGAAATGTAAATTTTTTTGTTCTCCTCAAAAGTTGAGACTTGTTTTATTAATTGCCTTATTTATCGATAAAAGAACCTGTCATTATAGCGAACTCATCAATTCTTTTATTAACTATTTATATAGGATCATTTCAATTTTTCATCAAATATTTACCATATTATCTTTTTTATAAACTATTGGACTTTTTTTTTCTCTATTTATTTATGTAATATTTATTTTTTCATTTTACATGAACAATATTTAAAAAATAATTTTATAAATATTTTAGATATTAAAAGAAGTTATTTATTGCTAAAAAAAAAATAACTTTAGCCCTGTTAATTACATTAAATTAATACCTTTTACAATATTTTAGCTGATAATAAATATATTCGTAATTTGATATAAAATTTACATATTTTCTATTATAAATTATAATATAAACAAATATTTACCTAGAAATAGATTTATTTCTAGAATTCTTTTTTTCTATTGAATCTCTTTTCTTTTTTCCTTCAACTTTCCTCCTCTGTCTTTTCTTCGTTCATTACAGATAATTTATATTTATTTTTTTCTTTAAATAATTCTTTCTCTTGATCTCTGCTTTCTTCATTATTATCTTCTCCACTCTCTTCACTTATTTTTTTAATTTTATCATCTAAAATTTTTTCAACAACAACATCATCATTTTTTTCCTTGATCGTTTTTTCATTAATTATTTCTAAATTCTTTTTATTTTTTTCGTCTTTAATATTTTTTCCATTTTCCTCCTTTTTTTCTACCGTCATTTTATCTCCTGCAATTTCTTTTTCTTTTTCTTTAACTTCAATAATCTTATTTTTCTCCTCAAATAAACTATCAACATCATCATCTTTTTCTACATCTTCAGAAATATTTTTACCATCTTCAATCATCTTATCTTCAATATTATCTTCTTTCTTTTTCTTGGTCATCTTTTTTAAACTCCTTTCATTTTCATCAATTATATCATCCTCAACGTCATAATCTCTTTTTTTCTTGGCGACCTTTTCAATGTTATCTTTGCACTGTTCTTCAAACATATCATACTTTTCTTCATCATCAATATCCTGTATTTTTTCTTCATCCATTTTATCTAGATCGTCTTCTGGTATATCAATTTCTTGTTTTTCATAATAATAATCTTCATTCATATCGTCATCTTCTTCGTTGTCTGCTACCTCCAATTCTGCGTTATAAGTAAATTTAATAGGAACCAATTTGGGAGAATTGGCATTTTCCTTTTCTATTTCCTCTGCATTATAAGCGAAACTAATAGGAACTAATTTTGGAGATGTAGTAACTTCCATTAATTCTAATTTATCTGTGAGTGTAATTGTATTAGATAAAGATGGGAACGCATCAAGAGATGATTGCACCGTTAAAACCTATAAAAAATTTTGAAATGCCCAAATATATTGTCAGAATTAACAGAAGAATAAATGAAAAATTGGGAATAATTTATTAAATAAAAGAAAATTAAGGAACGACATAGAACTTGCTTAGTAGTTGTTCTACTTGATTACCTTTTCTACAGCACGAAGCCATTTAATTAAAGTTTTATGATGCTGAAAAGGCCTCAGTATAAGCTCAGATAGTCTTTGAATTGTAAATGGTGGTCTGTTATTCAAGTAGAATATTAAAAAAAAAAATTTTTTTTTTTTTATATTTACCGGAAAAGTGGATAAAATTAATTATACAAAGTACCTTTCAAAATTGTCCAATAATTGATTAATGGTTTGCTTATAATTTTCAACATCCGTTTTATGTTTCTCATTTTTGTCCAAACCTTCCCCATTTATCGCAATTTGAATATCTGAATCATGACATGTCTGCAGAATAGAATGGTCAATATTAAAAATCGAATTAGAAATTAATCTAACCGCACACGAATAATTTACCTTTTCGAGCCTTTCTCTGATAATACTCATAACTTTTGACCAGGAAACGCTTTTGAAACCAAAATATTATTCTACATTTAATAAAACGCGAAAAAAGTGTGATATGGCCAAACGCGCAAATACATACTTTAGTTCATTATTTTCAGAAATATATGATAATATTTCATCGTCAGAATAGGAATCTGGAGGTTCTAACAAGAGATAAGAGTGTACTTAGTGAACAGAATAAATAAAATGTTAAATGAATTTAAACCAACTTACGTTCTTCTGAAGCTGTAGAATTTTTAGAAATTTCTTGCTCCTTCGGTGTTTGAGGCTGTGAACCGGGTTGAGAGGAGGGCGAATTAGATGGCGACGTTTGTGGCTGTGCTTGACGTGGAGGAGAAAGTAAATTCACGGGAGATTGAGGTTCTGATTGGGAATCTTCTGTAATTGTTTTAGCTGATGTAGTGGGTTCTAATTTCAAGAAAAAACAAGCTTAGAGAAGAGTGAAATAAAATTAAGTAGATCAATGCAAACCCACGAGTGTTTCACCTTCGTTAGTTGGACTCGTTGTTGCCATAACCTCTTCGGCTTTTGGCTTGGAGTAGAAGAAGCTGAAGAATGACGACATATGGTAAGTACAAAAGTTTCTTATTATAATTTATATCAGACATAAATGTTTGGATATTAAATGCAAACAAACGTGGCGATTGGCGAAGCAGGTGTTACCTTGACTTCTAACGCAACATGAAATCGAGTTTCACAAAAACGTCTTTATAAAACCTTAATATTTATTATAAAAAATGTTTTTACAATATATTGTTATTTAGGACCTACACCAAAAGAGGATAAACAGCCAGCAAATAACAAAGCAGAAATAAAATACCAGATTAAATTGGGAAATTTTTTAACTAGTATAGAATATAAATTATCAAATATAAGAGGAACAATAATACGAAGGATTGAATCTATTACGCTTATTGCACCCAATAATCGACCTATTTGTGATGGGGGCACTAAATTGGTCTGTAAAGATTTTATCGCAGGGGTAGTTATTATACCTAATGCCGATACTATAGTAACTATAAAATTCAGAGAAAAATAGATTAAAATATTGATGAACGAAAGGTGATTTATAAAATTGATTTGTTACCTCCGATGAACACTGAACCAGATGTCGCTAGACCATACGCGACATGGGACAATGCATCAATTAATAATACTAATCTAATAACCCAAACTTCAAATATTAATTCTTTTCTCATTTGGTTTTCTTCAACAACTCTTCCTTGTATAATGTTATATCCTAAATTTTTTGAAAGAATCTTTTGGAATTTTGATAACAAGGAAAGAATTCTTTTTTTGAATTTTACTAATATAGGATATAAAATAAATAAGACAAATACTTTTGTCACACTCTGTATAAATATGAAATAACCTTGTTCTAATAATGACCATTTAAAAACTAATGATGTGTATAATAAAAATATATTCGTCATAGCCATTATAGAAGCTGATAATAAAGTATATGTAATTGCTAATGATAATGATGAATATTTTGTGAAAAAAACAATGGGAACCTTATCATTATTATTTTGTTGTTTTGAATTATCATTTGGAAGAAATATCGCTAATGGTCCAAATATATTATAAAATAAAGAAATGAAAGAATTAATCCATGAATTTGTACTGATCGTTGAATTTAGTCCTCGTTGTCGTTTTAAATTTGTCAATAAGTTTTCTTCTGTTAAAGATTCAGGTAAAATAAAAAGAAAAAAGAAAAATAGCATGATATTTATAACGAGTTTTACATAATATACTGAAAGTAAATTGTCCGTGATTTTCACTATCCACCCTCCAATCGTTGGTCCTATTGAAAATCCTGCAAACATAGCTCCTTGTATCCATCCAAATATCACGTTCCTATTGAGAAGAAATCATTAAAAGATGAATAATCTTAACTAAGAATATCTTTATAAATGACTTTCTTTTAATCTTTAGAATCTAAAACCACTCTCTTGTTTATGTTGAATTAGTATTTATTAATATAATTTAAATACCTTCGTGTTGATGAAGTACAATCTGTTGCGTATGCATAACTTGCTTCGGATAATGAAAAGAATCCACCAGTCATTCCTTCTACTACTGATCCTACTAAGAAGAAATATATTCCGAATGTATCTAAAAAGTTCCCGACCAATAATAAATTTAATGTGCTTAGAATTGTTCCTGTGGTTGATATTAATAAAGTTCTTTTACGTCCTTTTCTATCTGATAATGTTCCAAGTGGGCCAAGAACAAATATAGCTGATAATTAATTAAGAATTTTAGCCAGATGCCATAAATTTTAATTCGGATTCTTTCCTTTTAAATGCATTTACCTGGAATAGCAGAACATAGATTCAAAGCCATAAGAAAACGTGAAGTTATTGCTTGCACATCAGCATTATTACAATCTTTATCAGTATCATTTATTGAAGAAAATGAAAAATCAGAAGTGAAATTTCCGTTTCTTGAGTAATAATAATGACATACTGTTCTTAAATATAGCTGCACTTCCGCTGCTATAGTTAGTCCACTAGTTATTGATACTACAATAAACATTGGTAATAACCAATATGCTGAAGGCGTTTTATACCATACTTTTTTATTTTGAAAAGAGGGTGAACTAGGTAATAGAAGTGGTTCAACTTCAATATTATCAAAACTAGACTGTGTAGCCATTTTTGTGCGAAAAAATTCAGTGATAACTAGAAACGAGATATTTAAAATTTAAAATTTCCGATCGTGTTACCTTTGTAACTATCAATTTTCATGTTATACCCAATCCTTATTAAGGTATAAACCACATACTTTCTTTTTTTAGACAATCAAATTTTATTTGACGCAAATATGATCCGTCACGTACGTGAATGCACGTCGTCGATTCTATTTCATGGTTGTAAAATATGTGATCGACAACGTGCATGCAGTGCGTAAGATTAATACATGTGACGGGTCAAAGATTCATATTTTTGCTTATTTGACCATACAGTTTGCCAATTCTTTTTTTGCGTTAAAGATGCAATCCAGACGAGTTTTATTGAATCTTAGCAGTGCAGTAAGAAGTTCTTTTCACATACAGCGTCGTTCAATGCGTGCACGAACATTCATAACGTTAAATTCTTGTGGTCCTTTACGTTCTTTTGAAATAATAAATGGAATAAAAAATGTTAATATAAATAAGGGAAAATTGTATAAGTTATCAAGTTATCAATGTCAAGGTGAATTATTATTTAGTACTGTTTATTATCTCTTTTTTGTAATTAATTAGTTTTAATCCGGTATAAAAATTCTTTTATTATAGTTCGTACAATGTTCATTCAAACAGAAATTACGCCTAATCAGGACTCTTTAAAATTTAAACCCGGAGTACCAGTTATGACAGACGGTAATACTGCAGAATTTCTTTCAGGAAATTCGGCGACAATTTCACCTCTTGCAAAAAAATTATTTCAGATAGAAGGTGTCCGAGGCGTATTTTTCGGACCTGACTTTATTACAATTAGCAAAGATCAGGATACACCTTGGCAATTAATGAAACCCGATATATACGCAAATATTATGGATTTCTTTTCCTCGGGACAACCAATATTGACAGAAGTTCAAACACCTTCTGATACAAAAATTAAAGATGATGATCCTGAAATTGTTCAAATGATTAAAGAATTATTGGATACAAGAATTAGACCTGCAATACAAGATGATGGTGGTGATATTGAATATAAAGGATTTGATAATGGAGTTGTTAAGTTGAAACTGAAAGGTGCTTGCAGATCTTGTGACTCTTCAATTGTCACACTTAGAAATGGTATTGAAAATATGTTAATGCATTATATTCCGGAAGTTACTTGCGTAGAACAAGTTTTGGATGAAGAAGAATCAATTTCTCAACGAGAATTTGAAAAATTAGAGCAAAAATTAGGAATGACTTAAAAATTTTTCTCAATAAGAATTCATTATTTAAATTCTTTTCTATATATAATACTATAATGTTATTAAAAACCAATATAAAGCTTACATCTAGTTTGACATAACAATATAAATTGCTATAAATTGAATTGATATAAACTGATATTAATTGTTATCTTAACTATTTGCTTCGTTTTCTTGTTGATCCATTGCGTAAAGCTGAGTGTACATCTTCACTAAAGATTCATACCCCATAAAATCACCGCATCGAAGCAAATTTGCTGTTGATATTAAAAGAGTACATCTTATTTAATATATTAATTACAAAAAATAACCAATATATTTTCTTACCAGCATCGCAATTTAGTGGACTTGTCGGTTCCGGATTTGACAACAATAATCTGATCGCCATACACGCGGACTGCAAAGTCCACGCAGGACTCCAAGCTGTTTTCAGGATATCGAGACATATTTCTCCGGTCTATATTTAGAAAATATATATATTAATAGTTTCTTAATAATTGCACGAGATAAATGGATAAAATTTTTCCTACTTTGAAAGAGATGTTTGGATGGCATATTCTCGTTAAGAACTTGATTTTTGGTGGGTGAATTGGATATGTTTTTGGAATTTCAATACGTAAAGTCCAATGACCTCCTGATTTAAGTTAAGAAAGTCATGAACATATGAAGTTTAAAATTATTAATAATTTACGTTACCTTCGTAAGGAGTATCCGACTCTCCACGCAAAACTGCATTCCAAACCAAAATGTTATCATCTGATATGGGAGATAACTTGGCAAGATCTGGATTTGGTTCTTTTTGATAATCCTTGAGTTCTTTAAGTAATCTTCTTGCTACTGCTTCTGCCATTTTAACTCATTTGCATACATAAAGGTCCGAACAAAAACAACATACGGTTATATACACGTGTTTTGTGACACAAACCGCAGATTATAACGGATGGAAAATTTTAACAATGCTCCAATCAAATGGATTCACTTTCTCTGCTGCTTGTTCCCAAAAATCGCAAAGTAGAATTCGAAGTTGAGGTTTTTATTCAAGAATTAGCAAATGTTCCCTTAGTAACAGGTCTTTACTATGTAAAATTGAAATTAAAAAATGGAGAGAAGTCAAATAGTATGACTAGTCGGTAATATAATTCGTTACAATATTATATATTCTACTGACGTTTTTAGAATTTTATCTTAAACTCCTTTTCTGAAATTGCTAAATAGAGCACCTATTAAGGATCATTCTATTTTTTGGAACTATAAATTAGAAAATTTTGTACAAATTGTCATAGGGAAAGATGGTGTTTTAATGCCATGTGAACTAAATCTTAAAATTAAACAAGTAAGAATATAGTTTTTTTCATTCATTTTCTTTCTTTTATATTAATTACTTTTTCTAGGAATTAAATGGAGGTAAAGAAATAAATAATATTGGAAAATTATCGTTAAATCTTTCCGAATATGTTGGATTAAATGCAATGACTCGAAGATACTTGTTACAAGACAGTAAAATCAATTCGACACTTAAAGTATAATTTTTTTTAATATCTTTTTCGTCTCACTTTTTTTTTATAATCATTACAATTAATCTTTTTCATAGTTAACAATTAATATGAAACAAACTATAGTAAATTCTAGTAGTTATAAAGTGTAAGTAACAATTTTATTCGTTCTTCGTAAATTTTATAAATACTGTAATATATATGTATGTGTGTGTGTATATATAAATTTTTGCAAACATTAACATGGGTATGTATTTATTTGGTTGAGGGGAAATTTTATTCATTGATATATACATATTTTCTTATGCGTTTTAATATATCTTAGACCGCCCCTCAAAAAAACGCAAATTTTTGGTGGAATTGCAGGAGTAATATCAGAACAAAGTGAACGACAGGATGATGAAAGATCACGTTAGTTATACTCTTTTTAAAAAAAAATGATTTTTTTACTAAATGCTTATCCGAATTTATATATTTTAGCTCGTGCTTTCAGATCAAGCTTTAGTCCACATCATATAAAGCGTTCTCGTTCGAATTCCTCTCTTGTATATATTATTTTATATATAGAATTCTTTTCATTTTGTGGAAATATTTACTCTTTTTTTTTTAATAATTCTAGGGATCGGCATATTACGCACAAGCAACCCATGTTACTCCTATCACTTCATCGTTGGTGGCGAATTCTTTTCTTCGTAAGGTTGGAGACAAGTCACCTACGGATGTGGTTGAAGAAATTTTTATGGGAACAGCTGTAGTAAATGTTGACGAGAAAGAAAATGATGTGTAAAATCATATTGTAAAAGAATAGACGAAAAGTAAACGTTTCATAATGATGAACAATAGTATATGCTTCATTAATATACATTCAGTACAAATGCTGCTCATTCTTCTTCTACATTCTAACTCTTTCACTTAATTCAACGCTTTAATCCTCCTTTATGCTCATTTTATTTTATTAAAATATATTTGGTCATCTATTTTACTATAATCGGTGTTCAGCGATCTATTTTTGATCGACTGTCAATTGTTTCATGCATTGATTTACATATAGATTGGTAATAGTTATAAAATGTCACGGGTTATACTAGTTACACTAAGTAAATTCGATTTTCTTTGATTAATAATGTCTACCCTCCGATGGTAAATTGCTACCAAAAATTTTCTATTTGAATTAGATCAATTAGATCAAATTTAAATTTTTTAATCAGAACATTAAAATTAATGATAAAATATTTCATTATACAAATTATTCACGATTTATGCAAAGTTTTTTTTTAAAAAAAGAAATGATCTTAAAAAAAGACCATTAATTGCATCAATGAATTTATAATTTACACAACATATAAATATTTTTGTTCAAAATACTGCGCACTCAGCGTTCGCTCTCGATAAACTTGTGGCTTAAAACCCCACGTTTTCACCTCCCCCGATCATTTGTTACGCATTACATCACTTTATCAGATATTTTCACAATAACAATATCACTATTAATTTCCTGATAATGAATTTTATTTTGTCTCTCTTTCTTTTAAGCAAAGTCAGCGTTCAAGTGCAGAAATGAAAAATTCTTAAATGATTAAAAATTAAAGAATAAACAGGTAAACTTCGATGTGAAAACATTCCTTGTTTGTATTAGTGTAATGTTTCACTATGCCCACTCTTTTTATTTCCCATTATTCTTCACCCAAATTTTATCCGCTTATCAATTTTCAAAGGCAAATCCTATGTGAATTTTTGAACATAACTGATTAGTTTCAGATTGGGTATGTTATTTTATTTTAATATATATACATGTATATATATATTTCATTCCTGCGGAACACCTTAGTATGATTTGGACCTTTGGCCGGTTTCGTGCGACTTGCACAAAATAAGTCACCCAATTCTTCCATATTATTTATTCTTTCCCTTTTCTTCCAAAACGATCTTAACTTCTTTGGCTGATCCTTGCTTTTTCGTTTACGACATTGCTACAGGTTGTTCTCCTCTCCTAAATCCTTCCTTCGGTTCCTTCCCTTGTAATCATCCCTCGAAAACTCTACGGAAAACTCTGTTTCTTCACTACCCCTTTTGTAAATACCTTTTCTGGACCTTAGTGTAGAAACTCGCATATTTTATATTCCCCAAAAAGACCTCTGGCTCTCGTGGTCCAAAGAGAATAGAACCTGCTCGTTAGACTGATAAATAGACTTTTGTATGCATACAAAGTTATTATAAGCAAAAGTTTAGAATTTTTTATATACAAAAAAATAATACTTTTTTTTCATATTTTTTTTTTATTTTTTCTGTCTAGAATATATTCCACGTTTAAGTGTGTGCATACTTTTGCACGACAAAATTTTTTTTTTTTAACTTGTACGATATATTTATTTGTGTAAGTAACAGAGTGTTTCTGTAAAGGTAAGGATACAAATAAAATTTCCTATAATTTGATATATTATACATCTTAATGATCACTTCTGGGTTAAGTTCTATTACCTAACGCATTATTTAAATCTATTCTATTTATTAATAACTCCACCTTGAAATAAAAGGTTAAAATACAATAATGGAGGTATGGTATATTTATTATATAAAGCAACCTAACAAACTGCAAATCTCGAGTATTTTTATTTCTCACGCATATGCCTGAAAAGATTTTTCCTTTTTTTTTTAAACTACAAAATTTAGCAAGAGAAGCCTGTCTCCAATGCTTGGAAGACTGTAAGTAATAACATATAATATAGTGTTTTACTTTTTGACCTTTTCCCATCCCAAGCCACAAATATTGTGTGACATCAAACATTTATTAAATAGCAATAGGAAAAGAAAGAATTGATTATTAAAAAAAACCAATTGAAGCCACAAATTGTTCTTTAAACAATTCGATTTAAGATCTACTTTCCATACCTTTATTAATTATTGGAATAACCATAATTTTCTGCAATATGTATATAGTATATATTATATTTATTTTATTTTTTTAAATTGGATTCACTTTAGACCAAGTCAACCGCTGGTAGAGCTTCTAGCCCCGCATCAGCATCGAATAAATCAATTAACGCTAATGGCGAGAATCGTAGCGGCAAAAACAGTCCTTCACCAGCATCAAATTCCCCAACTACGTCATCTAATTCAGTACCGTATAATTGGAAAGTTGTTGGAAGTCCGCCTACAAACTATATTCGGCCCGGCCCAGACGAAATTCAAGCTTATGTTGAAGGTATACCAAGTGGAAATGGTGAAGGAAATAGCGCGAATGGTGGTAAATGGAGTGCTTTAGGAGGATTACAGTGGAGCAGTGCTACATCCATTTGGAATGAAAAGAACCAACAACAAGTTCCTAATTCAGGATCTAAAGCTGTACCTCGAGCATCTCCTACTCCTCCTCCTGTTTCAAAAAATGATGATAATAATTCATCATATGAACGAGAGATGAGTTCACCCCCTGGTATCACTGGAAAATTGCCTGTACCAGTCCCTCCTCACCCGCAATATCGTCAACACAGAAGTCTTTCTTTTTCAGTCGGGCAACATGATACTGATTTGTTTGGTTATGCTCCAACCTCTGCGTCTCGTCGTGATAGTGAAGGTGGTTTACGGTTTGCATATCGTCATTCACTCCCTGTTATGGAGGAAGAAACCGATGATATATCACAATTCAATATGAAATTTCGTGTAAGGTCAAAGTCTTCGGCCGCGGCATTTATATCGGGCAATCATGATCTTTCTCAGGACGAAATTAATGATTATCGCCGTGATTCTGAGCAGTATTCAGAATCTGGGTCAATTTGGAATAATCAAGGATCACAGAGTGATGGTCCAATTCTTCATCACAGACGTTCTGTTCCTGGTACCTCTGATTATGGTATGTGGGATAGCTTAAATGCACCAAGACAGCCTGCACCACCTTCTTCTTACTTAGCAGTCATGGCTGGTGAAAAAATGAGACAACGCCGATTTTCACTTTCACAGGTTCCTACGTATGGAAACGAATATCAGTATATTAATGACAATCAAGATTTGCGAATGCTTAATCATCGGTATGATATAATTAATATTCGACCATTTTATGATCGATTTTAATTTGTTTTTTTTTTTGTATACTCTCATTAAATAGAACCGCGATCGATCCAACATATGCGCACCTTGTGCAAAGACGACATTCGGTTGCGGGACCTGCAATTTCATTTTCAACAAATCAACAATCGAGATATATATCTGATGCTTTGGAATCTCTCCATTTAACTAATGTACCACAAGCATCATATACCAATGATACGGGGTATGCAAGTATTCCAGAGGACATTGATGATTATTTTGATAACGATGAACATCGTACCAGAGCATGGAATGAACTTGGAAAAGGTCTTCCACTACATGCTGTTCCAACACATGGTCCGCTATTTCTCGTAGAATTCAAAGCGGGTCGTACAGATTTGTTTTATGTAGCGGAAAACAGTGATGTTATGGTGAAAAAGGGTGATCTTGTTATTGTTGAGGCGGATCGTGGTAAAGATTTGGGAAAAGTTACTAATGATTCGATCATGCCTCATCAAGTTCAATTATTACAACAACAACAAGCTGACGCCATGAATGATGGACACCGTATGAGTAAAGAAATTCATCCGAAACGTATTTATCGGTTGGCCCAGCCAGCAGAAATCACAATGTTAGTAACTAAAAGTCAAGATGAAGCAAAAGCTATGTTAGTATGTCAGACAAAAGTTCGTCAAAAGAAATTACCAATGGAAGTTGTGGATGCTGAATATCAGTGGTAAGTGTAATCACTTTCTACTTTGATTTTATTTAATTTCTTTATATATTGTATTCTGATCATGCGAGTACAAACTAATATTGCAGGGATCGACGCAAACTTACTTTTTATTTTATTGCTGAGCGTCGTATTGATTTCCGTGAATTGGTCCGTGACCTATTCAAAATTTACAAAACACGTATCTGGATGTGTGCTGTTAATCCCATGATAAATAAGCCTAAGAAATGAACCTTTATGAAGAAAGTTAAGTGCGGTTGCAAAGTATTTTTTTTTTTTTTTTTTAAAAAAAAAAAAAAAAAAAAA